GAGAGAGAGAGAGAGAGTGTGTGTGTGTGTGTGTGTGTGTGTGTGTGTGTGTGTGTGTGTGTGTGTGTGTGTGTGTGTGTGTGTGTGGGTGTGTGTGTGTTACTCAGCATACGCTCTCTCCTGCTTCTTCTTCTCCTCAGATTTGGTGAGTTTTGGGGTTTTGTTGTGTTTTAAATGACTTTGAACTTGTTTTTTTAGTTTGATTATCGATGTTTTACTCTTTGCATTGTGACTTTATTTTGCAAAACATTCTGCTGCTCAAAATGTAACCTTTTTTTTAACTAGTTCTCAGTCAATAACCTTTGAAGCACTGCTTAACAAGTCTTTCCAGCATGTGCATGTTCCAAACTTCTTAAATAAGTATATAAAGACATTTATTATAATAACAGTTCAAATGAAAGCAGATTAAAATAACCTGAATGCTCTGCAGCACACGGATAGTTCTGAGTAAAACAAAGTGTCATTTCCCTTTTAGTCCGTTTTAATGCAATCGTTTGAAATATGATTGTTTCTTAAAGTTTTGCAAGATTTAAACATGAATCTGGAGCTGCATGTTTATGTTACTCTTAATTACTTATATTTGTTCCACATTTACTTGCAGTCGAAGCTACTCAACAATATTGTTTTAACATAAAAGGCACTGGTTTTAGTTCATTTTAATGAAAAAGCACATTATAGACATTTTTATTTTTAGGAAAAATATAAAAAATGCATCACCCTTACCTTTTTTAAATATCACATAATGGTTATTCATAAAATAATAATTGTATTTTTTTATTTTTCAAAGTTTTGCAAGAAAAAAATCCTGACCTGACACTGTTCAGAGGATGATACTAATATATATACTTCTTACCTGTTTAAGTAGCATTACTCTTATCCGTTGCAACAATGGCATTTTTTCATTCCTAAGATAGTTCTTTAAAGAAGACGCTGCTAACATCTGCCTTTTGTGTTGGAAAAAAAGAAAATGGCTGACGTGTTGACGCCGGGCCCTGTGACGCCTCCACCCGCTATTGCCATGGCTACTGCTCTTCATGAGGTCATGACCCCCATGATAATGCTCAAAGGTACGTACATGTATTTAAATGTCATAATAAAATGATTAAAAAACGTTATTTATCTAGTCATCGTGTTTCCAGCAAAAAAAAAAAAAAAGTTGAATAAGATCATGCATTTACTCGAAAAATTACAAGTTCAATTGTGTGTGTACAGTATGTGTGTGTGTGTAGCAGGGAGTGTCTTATCACCGGTGGAGTGTGAAAACCTCCAGGGTCTGTCGCCACGGAGATAAGAGCAGTTGCACTGATACTGGCTCTTGTTTCTACAGCAACGCCGGGGCATTTGTGTCTCTGTGTGGAGGGAAAAAAACCTTCAGTTTAATTTATTTTATTTTATTTAATATACTTTCCATTACATATTAGAGGGGGATATTGCAGCATCTGGTATTAAAATGTCAAATGTATATAAATAGCTGTGGTTTTCACTTCCTCACGTATCAAACATGTAGGAAAGTTAACATTTGGAGAGGATTTTAGTGTTGTTTAAATGCAATATCTGTAGCTGCATTACTGACATTCAAAAATCTTCTTTGGAAATGTCTTCAAAGTTTAGAGTTGAATCTGCGTTCTCTTATTTTAATTTAGGGTCTATCGTCTCACAAATGTCTCCTTTGTTATCTCTGTATTACATGTGTATGACCTTTTGTGGCATCGACGTGTCTTTTTATCTCGGTTTCTGCACCTTTAATGGGAGTTTTCTTGAGATATTTGCAGGATATTAAAAGACAGTGTGTGAGATTAGCTGTGATAAGAGTGCTGTGTGTCTGAAGTGTAAAACCGGAGCTCTGTCACATCGCTGCTCACCCTGAGTCTCGAAAATAGACTGAGGGTGTTTGAATACCATGCATGGTTGGATTCTGCAGACATGTGTCCCGCAGCAGCTTCACAATGACAGTAACAATTTAGATGGATACATTCAGCTTCATTTCAAGTTTGTGTATGTCTTTTACAGACAGTGGAACGTCTGGAGCCTTAATTGGAGGTGAGATCTCGACTTTGATCTCCTAATGTTATCTAATAATGTAACATAGATGTATCTAATAATAAGTGTTCCTTCAAGTTGTTTTATGTCCTGTATGTGCATATCTGACTTAAGGCTGAATGATGCCAATTAAAACACATTTATTTTCAAGACCTTAATCTGCAGCCCTGACACCACGTGTTTTGAATCCCCACCTTTACTCCACCTTCAGGCATGGTGGGCTCCGTGCTGCTGCTGCTGATCTGCATCATGGTCGTGCTGATCTGGATTTCATCCCGACAAAAAGGCTCCTATGTCACCAACGAGTTCAATGAGGAAGAGGAAGACGAAGAGTCTGATGCTGCTGATATGGAGCAACAAAGCAAGAAACCACTGACGGCTGAAGAGCACGAATAGAGACAAGAAACGTTTTTAAAAGATTACCTTTATGACATTATAATCTCAGAGAATATCCTAGTTTTTATTTCCATAAATAGGTGGTTTTTCTTCATGTACATTTTGAATTTTTACCTAAGTGACTATAACTATGTGTTAAGTTGTTTTTTTTATCTCAGCTTTGTATTTTTTAAACATTATCTATACCTACAATAGGCTTTTTTACATACTACGGCCACTCTGTGACACTTCACTATACTACTTACATTATCAGCACTTTCACATTTTGTTTGTGATTTTTCTACGTGTAACAATTTTATAATGTTGGTTTTCAAATGTATTCTATTAAAGAATTTTATCTAATGAATTTGTGATTTTTTTTTGTGACTTTAACCCCTGAATATAAGCCCTGTAGTATTTCATGTTACTCACTGGTCCTAATATAGGAGTCAGACAGATGTCTATTGAGGCAAAAACTACTGCACTTTGTATGAAAATGTATTTATGGGCACGAGTCCTTTGACTTTTATTAATGTCATCACTATTTTTCTGAATTTGCAGCAGTTTTTCAATTTTCTGTCTCATATTCTCGAGATGTTTAGAGGTCCAGAACTTTAAAACGTTTGAAGTTTGAAAAGCTACAAATTGAATTCAGTATTTAAAATGTTGTTGTTCTTTGTCGATTTATATGAATAAATTGGACACTTTTTCACAGTGTATTTAGTGCCATTTAAGAGCCCTTAGCATAAGGCACGTTGTACTGTCGCCCTCTGGCGGCCAGATAACGGTACTGCACTCAAAAAAATGCTGTGAACATAATGGGTCTAATTTAGAGGAGATCATTTTATTAAAACAAAAGGCATTTAAAACATTATATAAAATACATTTCAACAGAATCTGTTGAAATGTATTTTATATATATTTTGTAATCATGAGATTAAAACTGAAAAAGTGAAAATGTAATTACATATACATTACACAGCTTGTCATTTTAATGACTTTATTGACATGTGACACTTCACTATACTACTTAAATTATCAGCACTTTCACATTTTTATTGTGATTTTTCTACATGTAACAATTTTAAATAATGTGTCAAATGTTTTCGATTAAAGAATTTTATCTCATGAATTTGTGATTATTTTTATGTACACTTACTATTTTAGAAAATATGTGATGTTTTATCTTGTAAACGTACGACTTTAACCCCTGAATATAAGCCCAGTAGTATTTCATGTTACTTAATGGTCCTAATATAGGAGTCAGAAAAATGTCTATTGAGGCAAAAACTACTGCACTTTGTACGAAAATGTATTTATGAATACGAGTCCTTTGACTTTTGTTAATGTCATCGCTATTTTTCTGAATTTGCAGCAGTTTTTCAAGTTTCTGTCTCATATTGTCGAGATTTGTAGGGGTCCAGAACTTTAAAAAGTTTGAAGTTGAAAAGCTAAAAATGTAATTCAGTATTTTTTATTTAGTTGTACTTGTGTCGATTCATTTTAATAAATTGGACACTTTTTCACAGTGTATTTTTTGTAGTGCCATTTAAGAGCCCTTAGCATAAGGCACGTTGTACTGTCGCCCTCTGGCGGTCAGATAACGATACTGCACTCAAAAAAATGCTATGAACATAATGAGTCTAATTTAGGGGAGATCATTTTATTAACACAAAAGGCATTTAACACATTTTCCAAAATAAAACAAATATATAAAATACATTTCAACAGAATCTGTTGAAATGTATTTGATATATATTTTTTAATCATGAGATTAAAACTGAAAAAGTGAAAATTAAATTACATATGCATTACAAAGCCTGTCATTTTAATTACTTTATTTACTTCTAATCCTCCTTCGCGTCGAAAGGAGCCAGTTGAGGTGGTTCGGGCACCTAGTTAGGATGCCACCTGGGCGCCTCCCTAGGGAGGTGTTCCAGGCACGTCCAGCTGGGAAGAGACCAAGGGGTAAACCAAGAACCAGATGGAGGGATTATATCTCTTCGCTGGCCTGGGAGCGCCTTGGGATCCCCCAGTCAGAGCTGGTTGATGTGGCCAGGGAAAAGAAAGTTTGGGGCTCTCTGCTGGAACTGCTACCTCCGCGACCCGACCACGGATAAGCGGGAGAAGATGGATGGATGGATGGATGGATGGATGGACTTCTAATCTTTAAAAATATGTCATATTAAATGAAACAATTTTGTTTTAATGTANGTAAATTGAAAAGATAATACATTTGCAACATAGGTAGTCCAAATGTTTGGAAATGCATGTGTGTATAATAGGAAGATGAATCCACGTGGATGGATATACTCGTGGATTCATCTTCCTATTATACACACATGCATTTCCAAACATTTGGACTACCTATGTTGCAAATGTATTATCTTTTCAATTTACACACGGCATCTATTGCACGTCTGTCCGTCCTGGGAGAGGGATCCCTCCTCTGTTGCTCTCCCTGAGGTTTCTCCCTTTAAACTGTGGGTTTTCTCTGGAAGTTTTTCCTTATACGATGTGAGGGTCTAAGGACAGAGGGTGTCGTATTGTCATACTGATATTCTGTACAAACTGTGAAGTCCACTGAGACAAATGTAACATTTGTGATATCGGGCTATATAAATAAACATTGATTGATTGATTGATTGATTTTGAGGGAAAGACGGCTAGCCAACATCCCTTGGTCTTTTATGAAAGGGGCTCGCAGGCTCCTCCCTGTTTCCAGGTCACTGGTGCCCTTATGGGACTTGCAGTGGTTTTAGATGGGCTCACTCGACCTCCATTTGAACCCCTGGAAGAAGTTGACATGAAACACCTGTCACTGAAGACAGTGTTGTTGCTGGCTCTGGAATCTGCCAAGCGAGTCAGTGACATTCATACGCTCTCTGTACACCCTTCATGCAATCAGTTTGCCCCGGGACAAACAAGAGTGTTGCTGAAGGCAAACCCTGCTTTTGTGCCCAAGGTGGTTGGCTCATGCACCCCCATTGACCTTGCGGCATTTCCTTCACCGTTGTGTTCTTCTAGAGAACAGCGGACAAATTTGCTGTGCCCAGTTCGTGCCTTGCGCACCTAGATGGACAGGTCTAAAGAGTTTCGATGCAATGACCAACTCTTTGTATCCTGGGCTAGCCCTCATAAGGGCAAGCCCGTTACCAGGCAACGACTCTCCCACTGGATTGTGGAAGCGATAGCTCTGGCTTATACGAGTCAGGATTTGCAGGCACCAACGGGCCTGCGTGCTCATTCTACTCGTGGCCTGGCTACGTCCTGGGCTTTGTTCAAGGGTGTTTCCATTCAGGACATTTGTGCAGCAGCGAGCTGGTCTTCACCGCTCACTTTTGTCCGTTTTTACAGATTGGATGTCTCTGCTCCAAGTGTGGCCCATGCAGTGCAGGGCCCCGCGTTGGGACAGAGTTCTACCTGTTGAGTACTGATTTTTGGTGATTTTCGAGATAAGCATGTCTAGCAATACGG